AAGTCGGTATTTTGTGGAAGAGCCACACTCAAGGGGCCAAAGAGCCACATGTGGCTCGCGAGCCGCCGTTTGCCAACCACTGCCTTAGGGGCTTCAGAGGACACAAGTGTCCCTGCTCCCAGCCCTCCTCCATCCGGCCCAGGTTCTGGGCCGCCATAATGAGAGTTACCTGGAGCAGGGAAGGGGCTGATGCTACTGAGAAGAGCCCAGAGGCTGGTAGAGCCAGACGCCCGCAGAGCCCAGGGCCCGATGCTGCCAGTGGTCGGTAATTCAGAATCGGGAGGGAGCAGGAGATTTGCTGAACTGCCCACACAATTACATGGCAGGAAAACACTGAAATTGTGGAGCTGGAGACTCAGATGTGGCCATGGCGTAGCGTGTCCCGGACTCCCGGGACGTCCCTGACCTGCGGCTGAGGGGATTTGAACAAATGCCAGGAAAGCCACTCCCAGCACCTATGAGGCCGGGGGCTCGGTCAGGACCAGCCCCCCCCCCCCCTCTGGCTGGCACGGAGCATGCTCTCTGGGGCGTGGCTGCTGCCAGGGCACGTGTGAAGCCCCCAGAACACTCCACACTTGGGAGCCGGCACCGTCATCCCGCAGGCTCATCGGTGCCCGACACCTGGGCAGAGTGCAAACAAAGGCTTAGCAGACCCGGTAGCTCGGCTCATGCTCGCACGGCGGGGTGAGCAGCAGCCAGTGCTGACAAAGGGTCGCCGTCACCGCGTGAGGGGCGGTGGGGCCGGGGCTGGGCCCGCGTGGCCATGGTCTGTGGTTAGGTGACCCTCAGGCCCTTCCTTGCCCCAGTGCGGTCCACCTGCCTGCTCACTCTCTGACTGCCCCTCCAAGGATCTGTTAAGCCCCCTCTGTTGCTACCAGGCAGACAGCCCACTGGCAGGAACCTTCTCGTGGCTCTTCAGCCAGCGGACATTTGAACACACGGCAGACGGGCCGTCAGCCTCCGTGGTGGCCACCCTGTGCGATGGCTCCCATGCGGTCCTGAGAGGTTCTGGCGTGACCGAAAAGCCACCCCTCTCCCCAGCTGCTGCATCCGAGTGGACATAGGCCAGGCCAAGGGGAGGGGCCCTGCCCTGCCCCTCCAGAAGGACACCTCCCTGGGCACAGGGGGAGGGGCAGGTATGTTGGGAGACCAGCCGCTAGGCTGGTCCAGGGCCGCAGCCCACCCAGGAACAGACAGGATGCAGCTCCCAAGGGGCTTCTGTTCCACCGCGTTCGCTCTCAGACTGTGCTGCCCCTGTGGCTCCGGCCCTGAGGGGTCGGGGAGACTCCCTTGTGTAGGGCCTGGAGCCGGGGTTCCTGCAGAGTTTGGGGCTGCCCTTCATGAGAGGACAGGAGGGGTCCGAGGACAAGGTGGGGGGTCCGTGGTGGCCTCTGCCCCTGGCTGGCTTGGTCCCTGCCCATCCCAGTCCCCTCTCCCTGGAACCCTGGCAGCCATCAGGTTTGTGGGTCGCTGTCCATGGTTCTGACCCAGGGCTCCTGGGACTTCAGCGTTCTCTCCTCTCTGAGTCAGCAGTGGCTCTGGTCCAGCCTCTCTCAGAAACTCCAAACCAGAGAGGAGCCGGGGACCTGGGCAGAGCAGAGCGTGGCCAGAGGAAGAAGAGAGAGAAGGACAGAGGTCAACCCTGAGAGATCATCAAGAAGTACAGTTATTCTCAAAAATCTGCAGTTACTCCCCAGAAAGTGTCCCTCTGGGAAGCTGGGAAAGCACACACCCAGGGAAGCTTCCCAGATGAGGACGGCCCTCACTGTCGTCGGGCTGTGCCGCTGCGCTCACGCTCCGCTCCTGGCACTGAGCCGAGGCCCCCCGAGACCGCGCCGTGAGCGCTCCCTCAGTCAGCGGCCCGGCTGGGCTCCCTCGGCCAGCGGCCCGGTTGGGCTCCCTCGGCCAGCGGCCCAGCTAGGGCTCCGCTGCATGTGTCCTTCTGTAAACTGAGGGTTCCAGCAGCTTCTACCCCGTGGATTGGACGTGTGTGTTCAATGGGGGGACAATCCAAGCTCTGAGCATGGCGTCCAGCCTCTGGACAGCACTTTCTTAACAGCTAAAGGCTGTGTTCCAACTGGGAAGTGGGGATTGGAGGCACTAAATGTCCTTTATTGTATTGAGCCAAAATCTGCGTATTCAAGCTACCTAATGGTGGGCTGACTGAGCTGTGCACGGCTGAGACTTGTGGCCGGAAGTAGCTAAGCCCTAAGCTGCACATCATCCACGGTCCCCTCCCCATGGCGGCTTCTCAGGCATAAGATGACTCAGTGCCTCCTGGTCCCATCCCGTCCTGTCCCCTGGTCCTCCACCTTCGGTTCAGAAATGCCAGCAGTTCCGGGGAAGTGCGAGGCCCCCCCCCAGCCACGCGGTGGGCTCCTCAGACGCGGGTCCTGGGGTGCCGCTCAGCGCTCGGCCGCCTTCTGTTCCAGCTGCGTGTGCCGTGGGCCGTGTGCGCTGCTGGGCAGCAGGCCTTTGACTCTGGGGCCGCCGCAGCACCCAGGCATGTAGGTGCCCTTAGGTGAGGGACAGCCCAGGGCATAGGTCGCCCGGACAGTGCTGGCCCTGGGAAGCCCTGGGCCATCACCTGGAAAGAACCTTCCTGCTCTCTCGGCACCCGGGTCCCCTGACATGAAGTCAGGCCCCCGAGTTCAGGTCCCTTCCACCTCCAGCACTTCCCATCCCAGGGCGGCGAGGCGACGCGTGTGGTGGCCACAGACCCGAGGGGCAAGGACCCGGGGCCCTTCCCCAGCAGAGACGCCACCTGTTCCCACCTCCACCAGGGGCTCTGAATTCAGGACGCCCGCGGGAACCCTGTCCTCCCGGAGCCTGCGCAGCCGGCACCTGTGGCCGCTCTCGGGAGCCGTCCTGGTGTAGAGCTGCCCCCTTACTTTAGGGACCCACCAGCTGCTCTGTCCCAGCTCTTTCCCCACCTGCCGGGCTCCCTCTCGGTGTCGACGGAGCACCCCTGGTGTGGGCATGTCGGAACTTACCGGCCAGCTCCAGCAGTGAGCATGGAGCCTGCTTTCCAGCGAGGCCGTGTGGAGTGACCGTGACACAGCGACTGTGGAGTGACTCGCGCCATTGTTCCTGCCCTGGAAGCCTTGGCGCTCGCTTTGTGTCAGGGCTCGGGGTCTGAGGAGCATCCTGCTCGTCCAGGGTCTGCCCCGGAGGTTAGGCGGTCGCCCCTGTGGGCCGGCCTGGCTGGGCGGGCCGCCTGCTGGGCCCCTGCCGGCCCAGGAAGCCATTTCAGACTCGGTGTCACTAAGCCGCTGGGTTTGCAAAATCTTAAGCGGTACTCAGCACCTTCCCACGCGCCGCGCCGCGCCGCGGGCTGCTGGGGGAGCCGTGACGTGGCTGAGCCCGGGCTGCCCCTTTACTAAACACACTGGGACTCATGAGAGAGGGCCGGCGCCCACAGCCCCAGCGCGGGGTCTTCCG